AAGCTTGTTGCTCGGCACGGGTGCATGACTAGCTGACGACCGGGCAGAAGGTCCCTCGGTAAATCAGGTAATAAATAACTCTTAATTTCTCTATTTAATAAGGGTCTAAAGGTTAGTCTTTAATAGTTAAAGTCTGCTGGCAGAGCTGAGACTTCTATGTATTTGATCCTTCAGATAGTCTCTATCCAGCTCGGATAACCCCTATGCGTGCGGCACTATTGAATGAGCGACCTGATCTTGACAAAGCTGACCAGGCCAAGGACCTTGCGAGCCCACCATTCCTTATAGACTTTCTCCTGTCACATCGTATCACTAAAGCTGCCCTAACACGGGCTATATGACTCACACGAGCAAGCTTGGATGAAACGGATCGTGAGGAAAAACCCGTCACAGCTGACGAATACGTACATATCCGAGGAATGGTAAAATAGACCGACTTTAGTCATTTATTTAGTTAGAATGAAGAGCTTCAACGCAGTCAAATTCCCCGTTAAGTATGACAGCTCCAACGCCTCCAAAACATAAGATATCCTATCTGCTTTCATTCTCATAAATTGAATCATCATTGTTACCCAGCAGGGCTGCTCGATAACCTCAGCTAATACGGAAAATGGCCACTGAACAACCTCCTTAACCAAAATGCCTTCCTATCTACAACTTGCACCTCGTGCGGATACGCGAAGCATCACTCAAGCCCCATTTACATAAAAGGGATGGCGGAATATCGACCAAGTCCGCGTTCATGGGAAATTTCGAATATCTTTCACGCGAGACCGTTGTCCATTCTTTCTAACATTAGGAGCTAGCGACAACCACTATTATCAAAACTTCCGGAATGGGTCCCAAGCAATCTCATCCACTTGAAGTCCTCGCAGTTCCATAATGACAGATAGCCCCGGTCCACATATGGTGAGGGGGGTTGTTGGAACTGGCTGAGCAGAGACCATCGAATCAGGCGGCATGGCGGCCGTTTGAAGTGGTTCTAAACCCATGTCGAACTCGTCGCCCTTAACCTCCGCTGCACAAGGTCCCCGCTGAAAAGGGTTCGTCCATATCAGCGGGAAGCTATCCGCCTCCAGACCCTGCATGTTTACCGAATCGGCGGTGCTGGCATCGCATGGGCTCCCGTGGTCGGGCCTCAGCGAACTGCCGTTGGGAGAAAAAGCAGAAGAACAAGCGAGCAGCCTATCCACGCACCTCTTTGCCTCATTGGTGATGTATTCCTGGATGAGAACGCAATTGCAGTGCGTATGCCGCAGCAATTGGGTCTTCAGGTAGTAAATTTCGGTAGTCAAAGATTTGAAACACGAAGAGAGCTAGCGGTTCTGTTCCTCCATCGCTCTTTCGTGAGAAGCGAGTACTAAGGCTTCATCACGCTTGCGGAGACGACTCTTAGTCGCAGCTATGCGGTTACGTTCGAGGGAGCAGGGCAGGGGAGGATCAAAGAGGATGCGAGGATCAAATAAGGCAGCATTTCAAGAGCCCTAACCGGAATGCGATACTAGGTGCAGCGCCTAAAGCTTATGCGTGCCCTAGTAAGCGGCAGAGTACCAGCAGAGCCTAGGCTTAGGACGATAGGGCCGTGAGCGGGAAATTAAGTTTACTAATGGGACTAAGATATTAAAATGCCTATTTTCGGAATTAGAGGGGATTATAAATCTCTTTGTTTAGGGAGATAACTTATATGGCTAGGATTAGCCAATCTGCCGAGGGTTTTAGAGTCTAGTAATTACTTATCACCTATATCTTTAAGCTTAGAGGGATAGGCAATTTCAAAGGGCCATAGAATATAAAAAGCTTTGCCTATAGGTATACTTAACTTGCTTAAGGGCCTTTAGAGTTTTAAGATAGAGTGGCTTAAATGGGCCTCAACTAGGTTACAAAGGTAGGGGGGGAGGGTGGGGGGGGAGGGCGTTTATAATTTATATAAACATATACTCGCGCTTGGACCTTTAGAATACACCGAATGAGTATTAGGATAAGGGCTCTCTCTATATAGACAATATCCGAGGATGCCTCCTTACCTAAGAGTTTTGGCTATTATATTTTGACTTAATCTTTTATTATATAAACTCGGTCATAGAGCTATAATAGGCATCGGAGGTCTACTATGCGGCAGTTAATAATTAGAGGTCTATGCTCTTGCCGATAGCTCTTAGAGCTCTATAAACGCTGGGGATCGTTAATTTATTAAGCTTTAGTAGGAGGTAATAGGTAGGCGAATTAAGATCGCTCCGCGGATATCTCAAAGTCTACCCGAGCCGCTTATGCGCTTCTTACTATTATCTATTTTAGCTAATAATTATCCCGAATTAAAGCCTTATCTCACCGATATTAGCAATGCGATTTTCACGTATTAAATCCCTGAGCGGACGAACCGCTATATTATAATTAATAAACATTAGGTAGCTAAGCCGCCGCTGCGCTTAATACTTGACTATAACGTCTACTGGTATGCTAACCCGGATAATTTCTTTAGAAATACCCTAGATACTAGAACTATATTCTATATTGCACCGAGAAGCTAAGGAAAAAATCGGGCTCTGCTGAGGTTTAGGCGCGTCCTGATTGTTAACATTGTAATCCAGAGTTTCTTTGCACCAAATGACGAGACGGATTACGTTCCCACAACTCCACATCAATGCTAAAGAAAGGGAAAAGAACAAGCAATCTCGAAAATTCCAGAATTTCATTAGCAAAAACTGTACGAGCTTGGAAGAGAGCGGTTGGTTTTTTCTTTGGCGGATATCAGTTACGCATCGCCGCATTACTAGATCATGAGTTACCCTTTCCCAGGAACTCCTAGATGGAGCCCAATCCTCAACCACGCCAGTGTCTACCCATGGATGTCATCTGTAACTCCTAGTCCCTCGCCCTATCGCGCCTGGGCTGAGACGATCCATCACTGTCCTACAACCCAACCAGACTTCGGACGCTTCAACAGCTCCTCCCAGCAGGGTAACTTCAGCCCGCGTCCACCCAAGGGCTCTCCCCGCTACAGCAGCTTCGGGCAGTATAGCACTGCAGTTATAAACCACAGAACTTCTTTACCGCTTAGGCTCTCCGCTTCGTCTCGGCGCTCCAAGTGCAACCGCCAATACTCGTTTGCCTATATCGGGGCCTCCAACCTCTATGGAGAGTCCGACGAGGACGAGTTCATCGAGGCTCTGGGACACACCTACGTGCTTCCTGCGCAGTCGCGCCTCAGCAATCGTCACGACCGCCGACCCGCGCTATACACTCAAGACTTTGAATACGATCTGGGATTGTCCGCTAATTACGATCACAACGACGGCCCGGAAGCTGCCGTCCCCACCGCCTACTATAAAAAGCTCTACGGTCGAGAGCAGATGCCTGTGCCCCAGCTCCAGTCTCCCACCAGTTTCGTGCATAGCCGCCGTTCCTCGACCGCTGTCCTACCAACCCAGTCCCAACTCGTCCGACCTACCAGCTGCCACTGCACCACAACGCCGATTTTGGCTACTCCCAAGGCCACCGAGGCTGATGCCAGAAAGCACCACATCCCTCAGGGCTACTCACTCAAGAATTGGGATCCCACCGAGGAGCCCGTCCTGCTACTGGGCAGTGTGTTTGATGCCAATAGCCTTGGCAAGTGGATCTATGACTGGACTATTTACCATCACGGCCCATCTACCCCCCTCTCCGATATGGCCGGTGAACTCTGGCTTCTCCTTATTCAACTAGCCGGCAAGGTGAAGCGAGCTGAGGAATTTGTGGGTAGGGCACGTAGCGCTAAGAGCAGGGTCCTTGCTGGGGAGTTCATTGATGTCGGTGACCGTCTTAGTGAGAAGCTGAGGGGGCTTCTCAAGGCTTGCGAGTCCTCCATGCTCAAGGTTGCCGAGCGAAAGACATCAGGTCCAGGCAAGAATGCCGGCATCGAGTTCGTCGAGACGCTCTTCGGCTGGGACAGGCAGCTCGACAAGACTGAAAAATTCATGCAAAATGCGAGGCTTTTCATCCTTCGATTCGACGCCAACTGCGAGGAGATTCTCTAGGAACGCAACCAAAGTAAGCGGGCCCATCTCTTTCCATAGCATCTGCTAGAATTTCATGTCTCTGTTGCTTCATGTTCCCACGAACACATACTCGACCACTTACTCATACTAGAAGACTTGAAAGGTCTGTTATGGCATCCACGCTAGAGGACGAAGGGGAGCACTGCCTGTTGAAACCCAGCGGGTTATCAGAATCCGTTACCTTGGGATCGTTGTGTTTCTTGTGAGTAATTGTAGGTTTAGGGAACGGCAAGCTAAGAGAATTGCAAGCACTGCAACCTGCGTTCTACCAGTCTCAAATCCTTTCGAATCATCTTAAGCGGGCCCATGAACATAAGATCAAACGTACCGGAGTCAACTAGTCTTACCAAAAAGTCTTCGCGACTGATGGTGGTACACATGCTGTCCACATCGTGTTCCCGGCGGCTTAGCCGCTTAGAAACTGATCTATATGAGCTAAATAGAATGCTCGGTTGTCTCTGGCATGATCATATTCTGGCCAGAGAAGGTCACCTAACCGATAGGCCAGTGGTAGTAAGTCCCCACCCCAGAAACCGGTCACCTTTTTCCACAAGATCGGGCAACGAAGACATCATTAACACCCTTCATTTAATAACAAAATAATATTTAAATACTAAATAGGGCACCATTGGAATTGCCAGCCGCCATTCTATCCACGTATCCTCAAGTTTGGTCATCTAGACTTTCGCTATGTTGCTGGGGGGTTCAGAAGCTTATACATTTGATCACTGACCTTCGCGATGTCGGGGACCTTCGAAAAACGCTCATTGGGGTTGAAGGTAATCTTCTTCCTTTGTTTTAGCCGTAATACCTTATTTTCATGCCGAAGGAGTGATAATTCCTTCTCTTAATCCACCAATGTTGAATTCTGACGGTCCAAGCCCTTGCCAATTTCGTGAGGAAGAGTCGAAGCGTGCGATCGATCTTCGCAAAAGAAGAAACGCCTCATAACGCCATTCTGAGCTATTGCGATGACCGGGGTGTACAGAAAAGACTTTCTGTTGCCTCTGACGACGGCGTCAGCGCCTCGGGCGGCGTGACCGGCCGTTCTTCTAGCTTACTCGCCATGGGGTTCATCAGGGACTTTGCCATCGAGACTGGCCATAATCCTGATGATTTCCAACCTCCGATGATATTCCTTGACTTCGGTCTGATCTTCCTTGCCTTGTGGTAGTATCTTATGAATGTGATTTGCCTAGTTGCGTGGCATCATCGATTCCGGCGAGCTTGTTAAGCTCTCGGCGGTATGCATTCTTTACGGACCCAAAGACCGCAACGTCGAGAGGATCAATGATGGGTTTAGGGTGTCGGGTTTCGCTTGTGTTCGGGAGGACTCAGCCAATAAGATCGCGTCTTCGACGAACAGCACCCGAGGATGACTGGGGTCATGTGGGGCAAGGTACGGGAGGTCCTTGCGCACTGAAGAGATAAGGAAAGAACAACTAAGTGGTGCGCACCTATGTTTTGGCGTAGTGGTTACTTTCCAACAGAAATAGTACTTACGGGGACGAGATCCGGGTCCTAGTCCCGGTTCTCGGCATGATATGACGTACTGCTTAGCGGCTAGATTCTCCAAAAACAGATCCCCTGCAAATATCATTCAGGACCAGGTGAACAGCCGGCTTGTCTACCCCGCATCAGCCGACCCACCCACCCTTCTGAAAACAGAAATTAAAATGAGCACATACGGTTAACGTGGACCTACCCTTCTACTACCTCTGCCCGACGACTCGTTTCAAGAGACTGGCCGAAAAAGATGCCTAGAATGTCGAATTCATGGATACTGCCAAAATGGAAGAGCTCGCCGTAGTAGCCCAATGCCCTCTAGTTGCCAGGCAACTCCATAACAAACAGGAGTACCTGTTCCCCGACTGCTCCCGAATGCTACCTGAGATCGAATGTTCTTGACCCAACCCCACAACGCCAGCAGGCCCGCTCCCTCCAGAGTCGTTTCAACAAATCCTCTATATGTATCCTACAATATATCAGAATTAGAGCAACGCCGCCGGACTTGATTTCAATAAGATCACACATATTCAGCGTGACGTGGCTTGCATACGACGTCACAAGGCTTCTAGGCCAGGCACAACGCCATCTCGGATCAAAGGGGGAGAACCCGGAATCTCACTCATTCTTAGCCAACACCGAGACAGTTCTCTCGGAACCACGGCCAATACACTTCAGCAGCCCACTGAGCCAGGCGTTGTAGGCACCATACCGTCTTGTACACGCCCACAACGTCAGAGGAAGACCCGAACGGGTGCTCAAGCCACAGAACCGTCTTGCGTCCCTCTCTCGTGGTGGCAGCAAAGCTCCAGTCGTGCCCATGCACGAGAACGGCTGGTAGAAAGGGTAGTCCGCCAAACGAGCCACCTGAGCGGTTGACAAGATGCTCAAGAAATCGCCATTGCGCCGAGTGCCATGTTCCTATCTGCAGCGCTGCTGCTTCCGACCAGGTTCTGTCCCGACTCTTTGTCTCGATACTGATGGCGATGGGTCGCTTGCGGAAAGGTTGAAAGTCGCTGTGGTTGATCACCTGGGACACCAGAGAGCGGCGCAGTGTTTGGATAGCTTCAGAAGCAACCGGGTCGGCTTTGGGATCGAAGTATACGCAATAGTCCACCATCTTGGCGGGCGTGGTTGCGGGGAGATATTCGCGAATGATCTTTGCCGTCGTGCATGGTGCAAAACCAACGAGTTGATCCCGTCGCCGTCGGCCGTAGATAGCCGAGTATAAGAGAGGGTTATGAACCATCTGGTTCCATCCCAGTTCGTTCTGCTTTGATACCTGGCATTCTGCAGCCTCTTCGACAAGACGGGTGGCCTCATCGACCGGAAGAGTTGGTCCCAGTTGATCGCGATCTGCCGCGGCAGCAAACATGTGGTCCATGAAGACGCGGAATGTGGCGTCTGTCTTTGCCTGTTCCCTGATCTCGGCTCGCAAGGTGCTCGACACGATCCCAACTCCACTACTGCTGCAGCTCTGCAGCTCCAACAGCAGGTCAGAGAGTGCAGGCGGCAGGGAAGGGTCTGCCAGGGAAAGCTTCCGCTGCTCGACGCCTTCTGTGCTAATCTCCAGGCTGGCAAGCTGTTTCGAGGGCGAGGACCGGCCTGAAGCCGAGGATTGTGTGTCTGAAGCAGTCGGAGTCGGGGTCGGGGCGGGAAGAGAGGTTGTCGGCGACGTAGTGCGCAAGTATCCCAGCCCTTGCCTGCTGCTGCTCGCTTTGGGCGTCCTGTTCGGGTCTTCGTGCACCTTCTGCCTCTTAGGCGCTGGTGACTCGGGGTCGTCCATGGCCAGCCGCTTCTTGGGCGATTCGGGCGGCGACGGAGGGTGGTGTTGATGCGTGTTGGTCGGCGTGGGATCGTCCAGGCGGGGAGTGTCGGACGGGCCGTGGGTTGTCGATTTAATGTGCGCGAGCCAGCTGACGATGTCTTGAGGTCTCATTCTGCCTGCCACATCGTTGCGGGCTTGTTTTTAGGCCTTCTGTCGCAATTCGCTGATGGTTGTTGCATTGAGGGGTTGACGTTGGATGGATCGTGTTGACAGCTGACGTCGCCGAGCAACGGCGCTGACTCAGCACCTATTTGGCAAGGGCTCCCACGTGATTGAATTACCCGAAACTCCAAACCGCACCAAGAGTTGTTTGCCGACCCGTTGAGATTGAATAAATCACCAAGCCTACCCAAACTATACATCTAGATCGTTATACGACTTATTATTTAATACGGAAATAGTAGAAAGACGCAGTTCTAAAAAAAGGCGTCTTACCTTATTACTAAGAGAAAAAGTATTTATTGAAACACTAAACAAATACACTGTCGCACTGAGCGTGCTAAAAGGATCAAGGGTCAGGTAAACGATAATGAGCAGCAGCAGTGTGTTGATTGATTGTTGTCTGAGGTTGTCTCTGGTGCGGGGTACTCCATCCCGCAGAGTTAAAGCATACAGCTAGATTACTAACGCAGTAGTTTCCTGAGGCCGTGAAGATCATGCCTACCCTGCGACACAAGAGCTTCGACGATTAGCGCCAATCAGAAGTCGCACCTAATCCTCTCCCACTCGAAATGCGTTATTTTCGCATCGTGAAGTCGGAGCACACATCTCTCATTGACATACTGGTATCCAACACCTTTTATGCTCAAGTCCGCGTTTCCATCATCTTCCTGAGTGTGTTACACAATTGAGTTGTCCCATCCATCTCTTGCCGATCACCGTACACAAACACTGAGGATATCAGTATCGGTGCCGGCATTTGTATCATTCGCTGCACTTGGACTACCAGCATCCTGAGAGTCGGAGGCATCATTTAGAGACAAACCTGGGTCTCCTTGCGTGCATAGTTTTCGACATGCTCTGTGACAAGTGCAAGCATATCAAGCTCCCCCATTCTCATGAACCGTCGTATCTACATCTCTGTCTTGTTCGACACCACGCTTCATTCGACGATCTCATAGCATCCGCCGAGAAAGGTTGCGAAATCTGTCTCTACTTTCGGCCCTTTATCGAGTACTCGAGGTCTCGACGCCAAGGGCTGGCCGAGCGGTCCCAATCTGACTGCTCGTCTAGCGATGCCATCGGGCGCCCGCCGGATGACCCATTCGAGTCGATCCATTATGGGCCAACAGACAACCTGTTCGACGGCTTCGGAACTGAATACGGCAAATCTGAACCTCTTAAATTCAGTGTCGGTCCCGGCAGGTTCTATGAATATGACTCTGCGAAGGATAAATACCGATATTTCGAAGACTCTGATGAATGGACCCCTTGCCGTATCGAGGAACAGGGAGCTCAAATCACCGCCGACGACGCCGAGTACGAGGCTGAACTGAGAAACCGATTAGAGAGATTGGAACTCAGCCTCGATTCCGAGAACAAAGATTCGGAGCCTGATGAAAACGGGCCTGACTCAATTGATCCTGAACTGCAGTATGCAGAGAAAATACGTGCAATTCGAACTCAAAAGTATGAGGAGATTCAGTGGATGTTGATGACAAAGGGTTGCTGCCACGGACCTGAGCAGCTCTGGGTCACACTATCGCATCAGTTGGACTCCAGTGAACTAGATACATCTGCCAACGACGATTTCTGCACAGCAACGCTTACAGCCGGATCTATCGGTGCCTATTCGTTCGAGGAAGGTCTTGAGATCTGCTTGAATGGAGTTCGCGGTTATACCAGATATTCATTCGCCTCCATGCACCCGGAAATCTGGGAATATAATCCGGACTTCTTATCGATTCCTCAAAAACGCCCGAAGCAAAACCTCCGTCCTGTTCTGGAGTTTTACCAGCATCGGCGTAAGCTAGCTATCTTATAACGTTTCCTCCCGTCACATCTTTACTAAATATTACGCAGGTAGCACATTCAGAACCAATCCAGCCATCTATTCACGAGAAGTTGTACGAGACCCAACGGCGTTCTCGGTCCTCGAGTTGGCACGATCGTGGTTAAACAAATGTGTGGAAAGCCATGATCTATGCAAGCCGAGCGGCAACATTCTAATACCGAATCGGCTTATTGATGTTGGCGACGGTCAACGTGAGCCTGTAAGGTTACACATTGTTGGCCCCGAAGAGAAATCATTGCCTTACGCTACACTCAGTCACTGTTGGGGCCCAAATACTGGTGCAATGACCAAGTTGCTCCAGGACAATCTCGTGAGCATGACGCAAGAGATCGACATGGATATGCTCGCGAAAAACTTTCAAGACGCATTGGTTATAGCTCAGAGACTCGACCTGCGATATTTATGGATTGACGCTCTCTGTATTATCCAAGACTCGCCAGAAGACTGGGCAGCCGAAGCTGCAAAGATGGGACAATATTATCGCGGTTCTGAGGTCACAATCTGCGCGGTGGCTGCTTCGCATTGTCAACATGGGATTCTACGGCCACGGGCCGAGACCCAGAAGCATCCCAGAGTCGAAACGGATGCGGGGACATTCTATCTGAGGCCCCTACTCCCAGACAGCGTTACAGTCACCGATGCGTTTTCCATGTCGGATATTCGGAAAACCATCCTCACGCAGCCCTGGAACGGTCGCGCTTGGACACTTCAGGAGAGATTGTTTTCCAGACGCATTCTGTATTTCACGGAAGAGCAAATGATATGGCAATGTCGCAGCCGATTCTTTGCTGAGGACGGTCAGTATAGCTGGCTGAGAAAGCCGGGCGGAACAAAAATGATGAAAAGAAACATTGTCGACGTCTTGGATTATCGGCAAAGATTTGTCGGGAAAGAAAGGAAGCCAGCTCCACCATCGATCCGATCGACGCAGTGGTACACGCTGGTGCAAAAATATACTCGGCGGCATTTGACACTTCCAAAGGATATGCTGCCTGCTCTGTCGGGTCTGGCTCGTGAAGTCCATGATCTCACTAAAGCTCGGTATGTCGCAGGACTCTGGGTTGGAAATACGAACACCATCGTCACCGGCTTGATGTGGAGCCCGGTCAGGGAAAGCTACGATGGCACGGAGGTGCCCAACCCGTCGCTTGCCAACAATGGGTCTCCAAGCTGGAGCTGGACGTCACTGGTGGCCGAGATCGAGCATCATTTGGTGGAAGACGACGTCATCATCGTACGGCAGCCTAGTCTGGACCCCGAGTTTGTAGCCGCGCAGACAACACCGGCCACCTCGGACGCTTTCGGAGTAGTCAAAGCGGGTGAGTTCGTCCTCAGGTGCTGGATGCACAAGTACGCTGGCGTGAGGACATACCACGAGTTGCGCAAGACGGCACAAGTCTACGATTGGGCTGATGCCTACGGCGACGTGACGAGCTCCGATCCCGACTCGCCACGCGCTGATCCCTTTGCTGTCTTCGATATGACCCAGCCCGATGATCTGTGGAAACCTGAGAGTCCAACTTTTGATGAAGACGACCAGAGCGCCTGTACTGTGCCACAGCGACGCCGGGCTTTCCATCTCGCGTTTATTGCTTACACTAATCCGTTTGAAGAGGGGGAACATGCCGACGAGGCGCATGCTGAGCAGCATTTTCTGCTGCTCGAGAGCGTTTCGAATGGCCAAGAACACGCTTACAAGCGAGTCGGAATTGCTGTTACGGAGGTGGGAACTCTTTTTCCTATCAATTCGGAAAATGGTTGGAAAAGGCAGAGAATAACAATTGTTTAGCTATGGTGGGGATTGAGCAGTTCGGCCTTTGTCGTGGTCTCGATGTTTAGAGCCAGATCGATATGTTTTTGTTCAGCCCGAAGAGGGTTCTAGGGGGTCCTCCCAGGAGAGTTGAATTGCAGATATACGATATTTACCCTTCGGGCTGGATATTCAGCCGGTAAGTCTCTTGCCTTGGCAACTTAACGGGTGTTCGAAGTATTTTATATCAGTATTGCGGGGCCTACAGTCGTATCTACTCGCACATTCTATCAGTCTATGCGGGATACGTAGATAATCAAGCGCGCCCGCATTCACGTTGGCCAATTTCTCAGCAGCATTAAAGATTCACAGGGCGGGGGGATATTGAAATGAGAAGATGCTGATTGCTCAATTCATCCTAAAAGTGCAGTAGGGGAACCACTGTTTATGTACAGGCACGATCTCTTGTAGAATGTTCCTCCTTCTTCCACACCTTGCCACCGCCTTGGTTGCCTCACACTTGTGCTCTCCAACAGCATTATGCTTCATTTCGGCTGTTATAGCCTGGGCTGGACGCCGAGGGCCTATTCATACCGCCGGGGATAATCCTGTCTCGTCCTAGACCGGGATAATATGACTAACTTCCGGGAGGCATTCTTATTAGACTTTCCGCCTAAGACGTTAAAGGATCCTTATATTAGCCCTCTCTATATAGATCTAGAGAGCTTAAGAGGAAGGCTACCCTCGGCTCTCTTTACTTATAGCACTAAAGATTATTTCCTAGATAATATATTATTTATAAACTCGAAATAGTTAGTAGCAAGTAGCAAGTTAGTCCTTTATATTATACTAGGTGCGCCGCATAATTATATTATGTTCCCCTAATACTTAGCTAGGAGTAATGCTAAGGCAGGAATGCGAGCTATTAATGATTTCCTAGCAGTAATAACTAAGATTAATTAAATAGTATACTACTATTTACTTACAAGCCAAGTTACGTAGTTAAATAACGCTCCTGTAATATAGCATTCCAGCTTATTTAGTAGTACTGCCTTAAATCACCGATAGTTCGAGCACCTCCAGACGCGCACAGATAAAGTACTTTCAACTTTTAGAGTTCACGCGACACGCAGGTATCAGAAAGGGCAAAGAAAGTGCGTACAAGTCACGTGGTAGAACTGTTGAGATCCGTTGTCTGACGGATCAATGGCTATGGTTGGGATGTGGATGCCTTCTTGTCAATAGCTTCCGCTGGTTAGCGCTAGATTTCTTCTTCTTCAATCACACAACATGCTCATTTCAACAATTTTCCCCCCCGGTCCGGGGCCTTCTATTGCCTACATTCTTGAGGGGCAAGTGAAGCCCCAAAAAGCCGTTGATCCTGCCTTTTTCTCGCTTTTGCCGTCAGAATCACGCTTCCAACGCCCTTTGGATACCACAAAGCACGTCGCCAAGAAGTATCCCGAGCTTCTACGCTCACCGACCCGCTCAGGCTTCCAGCAAGTCAGCAAGGTCGTCACAGAAGCTGCCCTCCTCGAGACCACGGTGACGATGTATGTTGACGACCGTAAAGCTCGGATCGAGAAGTGATATCACGAGAAGAAGCGGGGAAAGAGAGGCAAGCCGCAAAGAGACTCCTCTCACAACATCAGCCTCCAAGAGCTTCGCGAGTAACAAGAGGAATCCATCACCGAGACACGTGAGAAGGAGAATAAGGCACAAATCCGGTCTGCCCGCACTATCCTACGACAAGAGATGGAAAAGTTCAGAGTGGAATGGCGAGCGACTAAAGAAGTCATCATCAACGGCGTCAAAAAGAAGCTACAGTTCAAAAAATGGCTTGAACATACAGGAAAGGATAAGGAATATCTCTCGATGGATACACAACGATCGGAGATGACTGAGCTTCTCAACCAGAAGACTGACGGCTTCATGATAGATACACAACTGCCTCAGGAAGTTAAGGAGTCTATTCGGAAGGCAAATTACGCTTCGAAGCCCCTCAACGCGATGGATTGGACTGCCCTCGCCGGCAGCGATGATACCGTCACTTTCGACCTTGGCCAGGCACCTACGGAAGACGAGAGCGAGGAAGATGATGGCGATGACCTCGATTTGTTAGGTTTGAGGCAAGCTACAGAGAATCCTCGATGGATGCGGTCTTAGCCGCCGGCCATGCCCTCATCGTCACCATCGCCGGAAGCTGCCTCCACGCCGTGCCCTTCACAGCCACAACGCCACACATCACGATACAGGAGGATGCAGGAAATCATCAAGGAAGGCCGGGCCGCGCAAGAAGCCAGCTAGGAAGGCTCTTGTGGCGCTGGTATAGCCGGAATTGCATGACGAGGCGTCACGGAAGGCGGCGAGGCCTGGATGCCAAAGCGGCACCTTCCAAGGCGTTATTATGGCTGTTTTGGGGGTCATTGTAATCGGCATCGCCAAATGCTTCAAGCTGCACGTTTTTTTGACTTTAGGATCACTTTGAACTGCAAAATGAAGCCACAAGATGAAGATCGCCTCAAAACAGAGCTAAAATCGGGCCTGGCCGATCTTCCAGGTTTTTGACTGTTGCAGGTCTTTGTGATCAACTAAGCAAGCTTAGTTGGCTTGCCTTGGGGCTTGCCCCACATGAGCCAACGGGTACGCTTGAGGGCAGCCAGTACCTCTCTCAAAACCGAGGATATCCGAAAGGGTCCAGTCCGGAATCCCGACCACACCCTGGTTTAAGACGCAGATCTTCGGAGACACAATCTTCCAAGACACACATGGACGCGTCGCTTGGCCCAGGTTGAAATATTCTATGTCTTGTGTGAGGTGAGTGGTGTGACCGTCTTCTTCTATTAAGTCGATACCAAAGTTATGGGAAAGCATAAATAATAAAGAAGTGGGGATGGCGGATTAGAGATTTACTTAGACCCCTGGGTTTTAAATTGGCGCAATCAAGACGAGGGCCTACTGTATCTATCCAGAGTCTCCCGAAGCGCCTTTCAGCATGAGTTGTCATTTAACGACGAGTCAGTGGCGACCTCATTGCAGGGCCGCGACGCGCTTGTGAACCTTAAATCTCTTGGTCTCATTGCAGGTCCTTACCGCTTTAGTCTTAAGGCGTCAAGAGCTACTGTCATGACTGACGCGTCAAAAGGTGCCTTGATGAGAGGGCACAATGAAAGGGGGCGCTCCCAACCGATGCACCTCCTCAGCTAATGGCATGCTCGACAGCATTTATCTTCCGATTTTCACTTGCGACCTGGTGTGGCTTCGCATTGCTGGTTGCATGAAAGCCATAGATCTTCTTCCCACACCCATAACGCGGAGAGCGACCTAGGGACTTGGTTCCTATCCCAGTTTGAGAACAAAGCAGCCAAGAATAGCCAATTCTTAGTTAAGGGGCCACTTAATATGGTCATGTAGATAACTTCTTGAATAGGTCCCTCCTCCAGTTGCGATGTTACATTGCATGTGTCTTACGCCTATCAGGAGGCACCCGATTGAGACTGTTGTTCGAGCTAAAATGAGAGAAGCATGGAACAAGGCTAACTGCAATCTTGACTACCTTATTAGGTTCTATACTTTACCATTCATGCTTAATGCATCAGTCTAGCTTAGAGATCGGCAGTACGTTCTGACCGTCATTGTTGGCGCTATCCATCACCAAGACCGAGAAGGTTAGGCCCACAGGACAAACCTTGTTCATTGATTCGTACCCATCTCATATGAACTAGAGAATCTCCTTGACTCGAGCTTTGCTAGAGAATTTAATGACCGCTCAGATCGCCAAAGTTGAAGAATAAGTAGTACAGAAACCCCAATCTCGCCAAAGAGGCACTTCTGTATTCTTAGTACAGAATCATTGCTTGCCCTCTGATTTAGTTCACGTCGTGAAGTCGAACCAGAGAGGTTTTCGTTCAACTTCTGTTTACCCAGAGATCCCAAACCCCCGCATTTGGTTGACGACCATCGAAATTCCCATCATGGCTGGGTTTCTAGTGCCACCTTGGTACAAGGAGGAGGTCGTCACCAATCTGCACATGAACATTGCCAGTATCTTCTGGGGATTGTGCTTCGGTGTGGCCATATTTACAGCTGCCAAGGCCAGCAAGCAGACCGCGAGCTCCTGGTCACGAGCTCGGAGGGTCACGGCGTACGTTTGGATGATCTGGGGAGAGTGGATCGCTTGTATAATCATCAGTGTCCTCACCTGGCTGTACATGTGGGGGACTATTGAAACGAGGTATCGCCTTTCTAATCGGGCTTGATTGAGCTAGACTAACATCCTTTGACCCACTCAGTTTCTGGATCTGGTTCTTCATCAGTACGTGTGACAAATCCAGATAATCCTAACGTGAAACTCGCAACTGATTCGTCTTTGTTTAAGTTGTATGCTGGTGCTTCCAGGTATGTTCAAGTCACAACCCGAGACCAAGACTGGTTTCATGGAACCGAAACTGATAAATGAAAACCAAACAGACTCAGCTACTCGTGCAAATTATCATCAATCGCCTGTCTCTCCTAATGGTAAACCGAGAAAAGGCTTCCAGGCTTAAGTGGGGAGCCTTTGTAATCCTGACTTTTATCAACATCACAGTTGGCATTGTCTGGATTCCCAACCGACTACAGATTTCCGAGACTTGGATCCGCATCGATGCTATATGGGATCGCATAGAGAAGGTCATTTTTCTGCTTGTTGATGCCTCTCTCAATATCTACTTCATTTATCTGGTTCGAACACGGTTAATTTCCAACGGATTGACGAAGTACAACACTCTCTTCGCCGTCAACATTGCCATGATCATAATCTCGATATCCATGGATGTGAGTCGCAACACCGCTTCTTCTAAGACTTCCAAATTCAAGAGAACTCACAACCTCAAAGGTCGTCTTAATTGGGCTCATGTCTCTTCCAGTTGCTGTGGTGTAAGTGTTTCTGGCCCCTCACGCACCGACTTGCGTTCTGCTGACGAGTCTTGTCACAGATATCTTGAGTTCCAATGCTTCGCCTACCTCACGAAGCTCTACATCGAGATGAACATGGCCGAACTGATTAAGAAGGTCGTCCGTGCCACTCAACACGGAGACAAAGACGGACGCTCCACGTCTGGCATTGGGCCAAGTGGCAAGTCATCACGGACCACGGATGTACCCCGGGGAGGTATCAGCGAGGAGAATGGGCGCAGCAGGTTCTCAGGGCTCATCTCACGAGGAGCAAGTAAGGCGAACCCCACCCGATATACAGCACGCATTGAGCTGGGGAGCACGGACGACGTCTCAACAAGCCGCCAACACGGACAAGGCTCTAGTCAGCCCCCACAGCCAACTATAGGAATCCACAAGACCGTCATCACGGAAATAGTGAGCTCAAAGGTTGAGGATGATGATACACCAAGGAGCGAGTCAAGTTCAACGAGACAGCTGAATGGAAAGTATGGTGTATAAGGGTATTGCTGGGTAAAAGCACTCTAGTGGGCTCAGAAGAGAGCCGCCACATCCGTATCTGTCGCAGGTACTGTACTGATGGGCCATGAGGATCAAATGAGCGCTTGATTTTCTCTCTAAAGGAGTGACGAGAGTCAGTCCCTTATACCTATATTCAATCTACCCATCTTATAGGCAGTGGGCTGTTTCCTGGTGCAGGTTGTGGTGTAGCGTTCACGCTGACCGTGAGGCTGTTCACGATGGTTGTGATCCTTGCCCTTGACATCGGACTGGAGACGAATTTACGCCTATGGCACGGCATAAACTTGTCCGAAGGGGGAAAAAAGCTCATTGCGTTGCTTACTAGGGTCACCGGGTTGAGCAGCCAAGGTCAAGAAGCTCAAGGAGCCCTTTGGCGCCAGTCAACAATAATAAGAAGAGGCATCAATCAATTTGGGGATGTGAGCAGTGTGATGTCGCGATTTGTAACTCGAAATATTGTTGGGACATCTATCATAGGCTAATTTAGGTAACTTAGGGAATATCATTCTTGCATTTTAATTGGGCAGACATCCCTGGAGTAACCTGGCGGGAGCCTTTCGACATTTGAGGGGATACTCAACGCTTCGGAAACAACCACTACAGGAGCGTTGCCGTTTGATTCTACATCTTGCTGCGGCACCTTCTTGAACATTCCAATAATCTTGGACCACGTATTTGAAAGGAACATGTCCACGATCATGAACGGCTTCGCGGCGATGCGCGCAATAGTGGCGAACCACGTGTCGGGAAAGAGGCGGACGACGATAGCCCAGGGCAGACACATTGAGGCAGTAACCAATGAGATGGCCCACTGGTCGCCATTGAGGCCCCCAGGCTTAATTTCGAACGCCCGCAAGCCGACGAAGATAATTGCCACCTGGAGACCGATCATCAGACAGTTGATGAAGATGAAGAACTGGTTGCGGTGAATGCCCTCGAAGATGTTGAACTTGTTATCCAGGCGACGGTTGTTGAACTCGTTGAAGATTTGCATCCAGACAAAGGTATTGAAGATAATAGTGTCGAGCTCGAGCATCTGAGTCTCGTCTTGCCGATCGTAGCCAAGAATCTCAGGACCGGCAAAGTGGAGGATAAGGGTGACGGCGAGTTGGTAAATAGCTTGGCCGATGATCATTTTCCACATCTGTGAATTAGGCGTTAGTCAAGAGTCTCGGTAGCTCGACAGGAGCCTCTCAGAACCGACATTTGTCGTAATTATGGGGACCTTTTCCCCCTGAGGAGATCGGTCAAGGATCCTCTCGGTTGGTGGGTCGGTCGCAAGGGCCAATGCAGCAAACATGCCCATGATGAGGTTCACCCATAGAAGCTGCACGGCCTTGAGAAGAGACTCCATGTTCTCATCATAAACTGCAGTGATAAAAGCCAATAGAACAGTGGTGATGTTGACGGTGATTTGGAACTATTGACGTCAGGAGCGACCCAAAGCCAACCCTTTGGAAGCGGCGCAGACTTACCTGTAGGAATTTCTGAACAGCGTCATTAACAGCCCGGCCCCATTTGAGCGCAGTCACAATGGACGTAAAGTTGTCGTCCATCAGCACGATAGCGGATTCCCCGTATGGGCCAGAGCTCGAAAATGCACTCTATAGCATGTTCAAAGAGGCGAGGGCCTGACGGAAGGTTATCACAACCTCGTGGTTCCGGATGAAGGCCCGGCAAATCTTTACTCAGATGAACCCCGGTTCGTCTCATCTATTTACCTTCTCCAGCGGTTAGTGGCAGGGCTTCTTAAGGTATCATAATATTATAAAGCGCCGGGTTATAAAATAAGTAACTAAGCGACTAGAGGACTATATCGATATTATAAATAGGTTCTTACGCTTTATTAGATAAATATCTATAGAAAGAGACCGATCTCGGCATATTACGATAATTCTTAACTCACTAAAGCGCTATTTTAAAAGGCAGCGAATACTTAACCTTAATAAAACCTTAATCCCGTTTAAGTATCTTAATATAGCTACTTAAGAGATATATAAAAATAAAACAGTTACTATATAGTTAACTATGTAAGGTATAATTACGAAAAATTTTTAAACTGTGACGCTTGCTTGCCTGTCCCACAAGCTGATCGTATACGAACTGAATTACAATATATACTAGTTATTCTAAACTGAAATTTCCATTCTAAAAAACTTTTCTTTTAAGTAAGTCTTATAGTAATACATCATAGGGTCGTGAGCTCTGGCGTATCTGGGGCGGGCCGAGCCGAGAAACGCGTCGCTATAAAGCACTTAATAAGGCCCTTATCCCTCTTCTCCTGCATATAATACCCTTTAGTAATATTATTTATTTTAAAACGATGAGTGAGTATAATAGTAGGATCTATTATTAGACTTTTGACCTTATAAAGGAGATCTTCTTAATCTGTAGTATCTATTAGTGCTTGCGATATATAATATCTTAGAAGTAGCCGAAAGGAGTAACGGGGCAGATATATACTTTTAGATTAGAGCTTAGCCGCACCTTATTAGGTAGATCTCGCGCTCTATGAGAGAGCCTACGTTAAAGTGATTAGTGACTGGGTTATTATTAGAATAATTGCCGCTAATATGTGATGGAATACTTACTTCCGATGTAATTACTAATTATGCTAATTGCGCCGAATTTCCTCGTCGACCGGATATACTCGTCGATTATCTCACTTATGTCTTGCTCTAGGCCTACCTATATCTCTAGCCTATGCGCCTATCCTTTGGTATACTTACCGCCGGTGGCATTAATGCTAATATTAATTCCGCTAGGGATTATCTTATGAATTTTATAAGGAATAGCTTCGCCGCTCCCGAGGGTAATATAATTAATTATCTTAAGCTTTCTAATCTTAGACTTTGTATATTTGGTGCGCTAGTTGTTATTAATAGCTATGATGCGCTTAGCCCCCTTCTGGAACGCCTAGACGTAGGCTATAAGGCCGATAGGACCGAGGCCCTAGATAGTAATATAGTTATTAGCCTTAATACCTGTGTAATGGATGCTATGATATAAGGTAGGTAGAATATTAGATAGGTATTAGCCTATCGAGCTATTAGGAAGGGGTATGTAGTCTTAGTAAGCGAATAGATTATTCTCGTCTGGTATAGAATATGGTAGCCTTATTAAGTTGTTATTAGCGAGGGGAATTCTTATGAAATCGGCCTAGCTATTAGTATAGCCGCCTATAAAATAAGAGTATCTAAAAATGCTACCTATCCGCGAATTATAGAGCTTCTTATGAACTGTTAATGTATTTGTCTTTTTGTAAGCTATGGTGAGGTTTTGTTTGTAAAATTCGTATTTACTATAAGAGACGATGAAATTATTAATGATGCGTTCTTGTGACGATCGTGTATGTTCCCAAGGGATAAACCGGTCATGCTGGGTTTATATTAGCAGAGGATTAGGCGCGTTGTCTTAAGCATAGTATAAGTTATATCTAGTAATATACTTAAAGGTATTAAGTATAACTAAGTTATATTAATAGCTAAGGTAGCTACTATATAAGAGAGTATAATGGGCGTATCTTATATACTTCCTGTGATATAATAGCTTATGATGGATTATGCCTTATAGGGCCTAAGCTATTATGATCTATCTAGCTGGCTCAGAGAGGATTATAGCCTGCGAGGCGTAATCCGTTCTGATCTATGCGTAATTAGTTAGCTAATATGGGTCCTTCTTGTTATATGGCCTGGGGTCTTTTTGGGTCATAATATGATGTCTCCCCTCCGTTAGTCTTATCCTTAAGGCCATATCTGCGACCCTAATTATTTCGCGTGTATATATTAATCCTAAACCTATAAAAATCTTTTGCTAATATATCTAGTCGTCTTGCCTTTTCTAAGAAGCGGTTAGCTATTATTAAACTAAGTGATATTATTAATTGTTTTAGATTTAAAATTATACCTTATTTGTCTTATCGTTCCTATGGCCTGCGCTATATGGCCTTGCCTGAAAAATCGGATCGCTGTAGGGAGTATACTCGTCGTGGCCTTTCTTGCGATGCGTTAGCGAATATTTCTAGTACTTATTCATATATTCTTACCTATGGGTTTTTCTATTTTACTAATAGTTTTCCTAGTAAATCGTATTTACCGAGAGTCTAATTATCTAGATTCTAAAGAAGAGTATGCCGAAGAGGACTTTCTGTGTTTATAGCGGGAGGCCTAAGAGGCTTAAGCGAGGGTAAATAAGGTTTTAGCTTATTTAACTCGGCTTTATCGCTAGAAGTATTAATTACATACTAAAGGTATTAAAATAGCTATTCGTGGCCTTTATTTCCTAGATGAATTAGAGGAGATAGAGAAAGCGGAGTTAGAGGCTATAATTACTATATAGTCTATAGGTGCTATAGATATTATTAACTAGAGTGCTATTAGCCTCGAGTTTATATCTCCTTTTAATATCGCTAGTAGAAGTCCTTTAGAAGGCGTTATATATTAGTGAGGTATTCTAGGGGTTCTTATATATTTTCTAACTCCGGGTAGTCTTTCTATTTAATAAAGTATATTATTTTATTATTAATTTTATTTATATCGAGGATAGCCTCTATAATATACTCCTCTAGTCCGTTAACTTTTATGTCGGGCTTATTGCCTATCTTGACTTAAATAGTATCTTATGCTAATTTAAGTAATAAAACGTAAAAGATTAGATAGAGCTTAACCTTAGGGGGTAAGTCTAGTTCATAGTTATATTTTAAGATTTTCCGCTTAATTTTATAGGGTCTAATATATTTATAGTTAAGTTTTTTATTTTAGCGTTTTATTTTAATATTTTTTATCGCGAGATAGATTATATCTCCCTCCGAGAAGATCAGTCCCTTAATTCTTTTCTTATTAGCATAGCTTATTATCTTATTTCTAATAAACTCGAGTTCTATTCTTATTTCTTTATATAGGTTCTTTAGTTAGTCGCTAGTAAGGATTACTTTAGGGTTAATAATAGTATCCCGTATTTATCGGTATATATCTAGTATAAATCTAAAATTAATATAAGCTAGTATAATCTTCGTGCTTTTATTTATGGCTATATTATAGGCTAGCTATGCGGCTAATAGCTTTTTAACCTAGTCGGTTTATTTATAGTTAATATAGTATTAGAGGTATTATTTTAGTATTTAATTTATATATTTAGTTTATCTATTTATCTCCTTATAGTATATAGTAGAGAGTTTATAATTAATTCCTAAGTATCTTATAAGGCTCTGCTAGAATTTTAAGGCAAATAATAGTCCTCGATCTATAATAATTTCGAGTAGTATACTATATATCTTAGCGATATAAAAGTAGAAAAGGTAAGCGAATTCTTTTGCTATTATTAATTCTCTATAAGGTATAAAATAAGAAAATTTCGTGAGTCTATCTATAATAATAAGAATACTATTATAGAAATTTCTAGTAATTAATTCTTCTAATAGGGGTAATTTTATAATAAAATCTATAGTAATAGAGTCCTATAGTTATTATATAACTAGGAGTAGTTATAGCTTTCCGTAAGGTTTATAGCATTATACCTTAGTTTTTACATAGAGGTCGCATTAGTTAATAATTATTAAGATAATCTTCTTTATTCTAGGAAAAGTAAATATTATCTTAACTTATTCTAGGGTTTTATTAATTCCTTAGTATCTATATAGCTAGTAACTATATATCTCGCATATAAGTTTATATTATAATTTATCTAGGACTTATTATTTATCTATTTTCTTATTATCTAAGAGTTGCTTATTATATTCTAAGATTTATTCTAAGAGTAGATTACCCTATTCTACTATATAGGTAGTGTTACGACCCAATAGGCCTCACATCACGTGGGAACAAAGCCCCATAAATTCCCTTCTATACTAACCTATTATAAGGTTACTTACTATTCGAAATATGAGCCTTACTCTTTAGATCGTGAGCCTCACGGTTCAAATCGTGAGGCACCTAAACCATACAAAGTATATAAAATATACTTATTACACTTTCTTATATAGTAGCTACCTTAGCTATTAATATAACTTAGTTATACTTAATACCCTTAAGCATATTACTAGACGTAATATTATACTACCTTTTAAGGTTATATAATATTCTCTTTTATTAATATAAACTAGTATAACCGGTTTATCCCTTAGGAAATATCCTCTTATTATATATT